CAAAGGAAGTGAAGGTTTTCTACAAGTATGTCAGTAACAAGAGGAGGATCAGGGAAAGTGTGGGTCTCTTAGTGAATGAGGGAGGCAACCTAATGACAGAGAATGCAGAAAAAGCTGAAGTACCCAATGCTTTTTTCACCTCAGCCTTCACAGGCAAGGTCAGCTCCCAGACTACTGAACGTGGCAGCACAGTTTGGGGAGGAGGTAAGCAGCCAACTGTGGCAAAAGAACAGGTTAGGGACTATTAAGAAAAGCTGGACATATACAAGTTCATGTGGCTGGATGGGATGCACCTGAGAGAGGTGGCCAATGTCATTGCAGAGTCACTGGCCACCATCTTTGAAAACTCAGGGTGATCAGGAGAGATCCCGGAAGACTGGAAAAGGGCAAATATAGTGCCCATATTTAAGAAAGGGAAAAAGAGGAACCAGGGAACTACATACTGGCCAGCCTCACATCAGTCCCTGGAAAAATCATGGAGTATGTCCTCAAGGAATCTATTTCTAAGGACTTGGAGGAGAAGGTGATTAGGAACAGTCAGTATTGATTCACCAGGGGCAAGTCATGCCTGATCAACCTGATTGCCTTCTATGATGAAATGATTGGCTCTGTGGACCTCAGGAGGTCACGTAGTCCAACCTCCTGCCCTGCTCAAAGCAGGATCATCCACAACTACATCATCCCAGCCAAGGCTTTGTATACCCAGATCTTAAAAACCACCAAGGATGGAGATTCCACAACCTCTTTGGGTGACATTTTCCAGTGCTTTACTATCTTCCTAGTGAGAAAGTTTCTCTTAACGTCTAACCTAAGCTTACCTTGTTGCAACTTGGGACCATTGCTCCTTGTTCTGTCATCTGCTACCACTGAGAGCAGCCTAGCTTCATCCTCTTTGAAGGCACCCTTCAGTTAGTTGAAAGCTGATATCTAATTTCCTCTCTGCCTTCTCTTCTCCAGACTAAATAAGTCCAGTTCCCTCAGTCTCTCCTCATAAATCATGTGCCCCATCCTCCTAACCATTTTGCTGCCCTCCTCTGGAACCTCTCCTATTTGTCTACATCCTTTCTGGAGTGGGGGGCCCAAAAGTAGACACAGTACTCCACATGTGGCCTTACCAGTGCTTTCCCTTGATCTTCTGGCAAGACTCCTACCACTGCAGCCCAGTATGCTGTTAGCCTTCTTGGCAACAAGGGCACACTGTTGGCTCCTTTTCTGTATAGCTGCTTAGCCAGTCAGCCCCCAGCCTGTACCAACCAGTGCATGGGATTGTTCCATCCTAAGTGCAGGATTTGCACTTGTCCTTGTTGAACCTCGTGTGATTTCTTTTTGGTCCAACCCTCCAATTTGTCTAGTTCTCTCTGAATCCTAACACTAAGAGGTACACCAATGTTGTACATTTATCAAATAATAATCTTTGCGGCTGGTTGGCCATTTTTATGGTGTGAAAAATATATGCGCTGTTACAACCCATGAATCATGCAATAATTGTGACATCTGCCAGGGGCCCATTATATGCAAAGGTGCTTCACTTTACTGAGGATGCCACAATAAATGTCCTGGGTGACCATTGCTCAACTGCAATCTTGAAGACTTTTGTGGTCTTTCTTTGAATCTCCCAGTTACTGATATAACATCACTGCAATGTATGTGTCTGGTAGGGCTGTGAAAAGCTTCAGGTGGTGATTCAATTCGGAAGAGATTCGGCCTGATTCAGTGGCCAAATCTCCAATTCCAAATCAAATGAGGAGACCAATTAAAAGGTCCAAATCAATTCAAAGATCTCCAAATCTTCGGAAAAGATTCAGAAAGCTTTGATGATTTGGGCAGCCCCCGGTGGCTGCAGCACAGAGCTGCAGCAGACTCTGAGCTGGTAAGTAGGGGCACAGGAGGGAGGGCTGGTGGAGGGGACCCTGGGGGGACCCCTGCCAGCTCCCATTCCCTGCCTGCTCCCCCAGCCCCTCCAACCCTCACCCACTCCTCCCAGCCCCACCATGGTTGCCCTGCCCGCCCCAGCTCCTGGCGTTTTTAAAAAAAAAAGCCCCGGTGCTCACCGGGCAGGGGGGCGATCCCCGCTGTCCCGCACTGCCCCATGCTGCATGGGGGGCTCTGAACGAGCTGCCGAATGTCCAAATCAGATTTGGCTGAATCAGATTCGGGACAGTGATTCAAATCGCCAAATCGAATCACTGCCCCTCGAATCAGCCGAATCAGAAGCGAACACTAGCTGCTTCCCACAGGCCTAGTGTCTGAGTGATTCAAGCCATTTTTGTTGCATCTGACAAAGAAATGGGAATCTTTTGTAACAAAGAATAATCAACCTGAGTAATGTAAAAGGCTACCCTTCCTAACCTTATTGACTCTTTCCTATTTTTCCCAAAAGTTTCTTGGGAGCACTGACTGCTGCTTTCATTTGTCTATATATAATGATATGCCACTTTCATGTGAAGTTCATTACCATGAACCCCACTGAATATTGGGGGGTTCATGGGATGTCACAGATTTCCTTGCATTTGTTGTACTGATGGCATGTCCCACACACTGGGGGAATGGGGGTATAGGGCAACAGATTTGGAGTGAGGGGCAGCAACAGGGCTGGAGGGGGCAAGGGGCTGAGGGTTGGGAGTGATGAGCACTGGCAAGGCCAGGGGGCCATGGGTTGGGAGTGAGGAGTACCAGCAGGGCCGGGGGGACATTTTCTACTTAAACTATTTACTGGCCAGGTGCCGGGGGATTGGAAACTGGCTAATGTGGTCCCAATTTTCAAGAAAGGGAAGAAGGAGAACCCAAGTAACTATAGGCCTGTAAGCCTCACCTCGGTGCTCGGGAAGATCTTGGAGAGAATCATCAAGGAGCACATCTGTGGGGGGCCTGCAGGGGAAATCATGCTCAGGGGCAATCAGCATGGGTTCATCAAAGGCAGGTCCTGCCTGACCAACCTGATTGCCTTTTATGACCAAGTAACTAAATCCTTGGATGATGGTGTCGCCGTGGACATAGTCTTTCTAGACTTTAAGAAGGCCTTTGACACTGTCTCTCACCCCATCCTCATCAATAAATTAAGTGACTGTGGCATTGATGCCTACACAGTTAGATGGGTAAAAAATTGGCTCATGGGGCGCACCCAGAGAGTAGTGGTGGACAGGTTGTACCCAACCTGGCGAGATGTGAGCAGTGGGGTACCCCAGGGCTTGGCCCTCGGGCCTGCATTGTTTAACATCTTCATCAGCAACTTGGATAAGGGGGTGGAAAGCACGTTGTCCAAGTTTGCTGATGACACTAAGATGTGGGGCGAGATGGAGACACTTGAAGGGAGAGAGAGAGGCAGCAAATAGATTTACAGACTACAAAAGTAGGCAGATGAGAATAGGATGGGATTCAACATAGACAAATACAGGGTGCTGCACTTTGGGAGAAGGAATCCACAGCATACATACAG